ATCTAAGCTGAAACAGATGTATTTGATGCTTTGCTTTGGTGTGAACTGGTCTGGTCTGGGCCTGAACCGAGATTCGACTTTCTGAACCGCTGGTCCAAATTTTTCAACTTTATTAATCTTGCACCCTGCAAAATATAGGGGGAAAGGGGGTCGCTGAAAATGAATGGGCTTGACTCACGCAAAACAGGTTGGGTTTTGAACCCTCGAAGTCAGAACGTGTTTAGACGGCCTCTCACATGAATCTCGGCAAATTCCGAGCCCGAATCGCATCAAATTTCGAGTCAGATTTCGCTCGTGGCAAGGCACACTGTACTGTAGCGTGAGAGTCTGGGAGACGTCGACCTACGGGAAACACGCCCTTCAGCACCAATGATCGCAGGTTGCATGAAATCTACGGTTGAAATTTCGATTTTGGCAAACAAATTGGATTGTCAGCCGCAAGATCAAATTCCTCACAGCCTCAATCCATGCATGGCAAACTAATGGCTGGACCGCCAGCTTTTGTTGAACAGCACCCCAATGAACAGTGTCCGCTAGTCTCTATTTGGGCGGTAAACTATTCAGCCAATGCGCAAATGCTTTTGCGCAGCTCCGCCAAACCGAATGTCTCCCATCGTTGTGGTTTGGCATGAATGCTCAAACTTTTTACCGCGTTATTTGTACTGTACGAAGAACGTGGTGATAGGCTAGGCACCCACATTTGAAGGATATGTTCTGTACTACTCGTTGATTCACCATCACGCCTCCACCCTCCAACGAACCTCGCAAACCTCACACTAGAAAGTACACTAACCTTTCAGGTAAAACCGTACGTTCAAGAACCCCATGTCCTGCAGTACAACTTTCGATCCAGCCCAATTTCTCACACTGGTACTTATGCCTAGAACAGTCGGCTCATGTTGCGGCACTTCAATAACTCCCCCAAAATATTCTGCATGCCCGAGAAGAATTTTCTCTCTGGTCAAGACCAATGCCCAGTGGTCGCCGCCACCCTCCATCCCACGACACGTGCTTTTCCATTCCTTTTGCCCCTACTGCTTCCCCAAATCCGCCCGCAGACCCCTCCCCCATTCCCCCGCCCACCCCCGCACCCACTTTCGCTTGCGCGGTGGGATGAGACCACACCACACCACACCACATGACTGAATCAGAGATGGGAATTTTTGCGTGGCTGGCTGGATTGCTGCGGGGAAAGCTGTCCTCCCCCGCTCTTCTTCCCCCCCGCCTGGACCTCAACCAGTTACCCAACCAGCCAATAGAAGATCCCGGCTGGCAGTGTGGCACCCTGTCCTTGCCGCTCAGCATCACCAGCAGCACACCGATTGAAGCAGCAGAAGCCTATCCTGCCTCTTCCCTCCCTCCCTCCCATCGCTCGCTCGCACCCCCCATTTGACAGTCCCTCCCGGCCCTGGCACACCCCCAACTTATTCAGTCTGTTGCGGAGAAAACAGTAACCAGAAAGGAACCCCTCTTGTATTTACATCATCATCCCACTTATGGACTTGGAATTTCAACTTTCACCCCACTCCTTTTCCAGTCTGAAGCTTCAATTGCGAAACTAGGAACATCCTCCACTCCGTTAAATCCCGGATCTGAAAGAGCAGTAGTATTCAAAATTGACAAGGAAAGTTTCTCGAGAAGTGCGGCACGCCCTTACAGCCGCCATGGAAACCGGCGCTGGCGGCGCGATCCACTCGGCGGCCCCTACTATTACCACTCCCGCAGCGACCATTACCAGTTCAGGCAACGCCGCGATGGTTACAACGGGTTACTCCTGGAAGAAGTATGGCCACAAGGTCCTCGCGTCCGTGGATGTCAAACGGTGAGCATCATGATCACATCATGTTCGTCATCACGACGCGCGCCGCGGCGATTTCCAAGTTGGAATTTTTGCGAACAATCATTGCGCCATGGATGCATCCTAGACATCGCACTATTATTAGCTTATCTCATTTGACTCAATGAATTCTCTCCGCCTCGTCCCGCGCTCCGTTCCGTGCTCGTCTTCGCGGCAGGTTCTACTACGCGTGCGCGCAGAAGGACTCCCATGGCTGCCCCGCCAAGAAGATCGTCGACAAGGCCCGCAAGCGACCCCGCGGCAACGCCGCCGCAGGCTGCGACGCCGCATCCAGCGGTGACGCCGCCGATGCCGGCGCCGGCATCGGTTGCGGCGGCGCATTCTCGCCTGGGACTAGCACAGGCAGCGCTGACAACGGAATGCGGCCCGCCTCTCCAACCCTCTCCATGACGACCGGCGGCGGCGGCGGCGGCGGTGGGCTCTCAGGGTCTTCCTGGCAGAATCACCCTTGGGTTTCACGCGGCGCCGGGCCAGGTTCGGCGGGCCTGAGGGACTCTGGCGAGGAGACCCCAGCTTCTACTGCTGCAGAGGCTGTGAAGGACAAGACTTGGTTCGAGAATGCGCACAACCACCCCCCGCCTCTGCTCTCCTCCCGCCTCTCCCGCAACCGTTTTCTTGCCGCATCGGCGGTGCCGATGCCGGTGCCGGTTCCACCGCCAGTGCTGGCGGCGCGGTCGCCGACACGGCCGTGCCAGGGCGTGACGACTCCTGCCGGTGCGGCTGCTGGCAATGGCGGCGTTTGGGGGCTGCCGCAACAGCTGCAAATGCAGCAGCAGCAGCAAATGCAACACCAACTACAGCAGCAAGTGAAGCAGCGAATTCAGCAACAGCAACAGCAGCAGCAGCAGCAGCAATACCAGCAGGCTCGTCCCAGTGTGGTTCAACCCCCCAGTAGTAGGAGTCGCTCAGGAGGAGGCCGTGTGGGTACCTCAGACCACAAGGCAGGCGGCCGTCTAGGCGCCTCAGATGTCAAGCCTTGTCTGAACGCGGCACTCAGGACAGCTGAGGGCAGTGGGGAGAACCGACTGCCGCTGCTCCAGCTGCTGTCGAACCAGGAGCCGGCACCTCAGCTGCTCTTGTGCCTGGAGCCTCCCTTGACTCCCTGCGAAGCTGCCTCCGTCCAAGCCCCCACAAGCGCTTCCTCGCCGCATGCTCTTTCCCAGCAGAGCCTGCACGGGCAACAGCAGCAGCAGCCGCAGCAGCAGCAGCAGCAAAACACCCAATGGCTACAGCAGCAGCAGCAGCACCAGCAGCAGCAGCAAAACTACCTGTGGCAACAGCAGCAGCAGCAGCAGCAGCAGCAAATTCAGTATCAGGGGCAGTGCCCTCCCTCAGTGTCTGCCAGACTCCCCCCTCCGACACCGACACCCTCCTCGAAAACCGCCACGCCTCCCCCGCCTCGTCCCATCTCCAGGCCTTCATCCGCCGCTCTGCAGCCTGTGCTGCGTGCTGCTGCCTCCACTTGTCGCAACGCCGTGCCTACGCCTGTCGAGAGCAACGCCGCGGCACCTGCGACTGCTGCCGCTGCAGCACTTAGCCTGAGGAGCAGCAGCCCCGCTTTCTACGCTCAAAGCTCGGCGGGTGACGGCAGCAGCTGCGAGGGCCTCTCCCAGCAGGCGAAACGGCGCAAGATAGACCCGGCGGGCTGGGAATGCAACGTTGCCTCGATAACCGCGTCATACGGCCTCCCCGTGCCTGCTGCTGCTGCTTCTGCTGCTGCTCGCTGCAGTTACAACAACGATGCTACCGCTCCTGCCTCTGCCTCCGCTCCTGCGTTTGCCTCTGTCCCTGCCTTTGCCCCTGCCTCTGCTCCTACCTCTGCTCCTGCTTCTGCTGCCGCCCCCTGTGGCAATTACACCACCCGAGGCGGCACGGCTGTGGGTGCTCAAGCTGTGGAGCGGAACTTCATCGACGCGTTGTCGCTGTCGTCGTCCTCCCTCTCCTCCTCCTGCTCAGTTGCCTCGCTCGTGCATGACCTCGGGGGGGGAGGAGGGGGGCGCATGGGAGAGGGCTGCATGGGGGAGGGCTGTTCTCCAGGTGCCAGAGGCCTCTCCCTGGACCTGGCAGGGAATTTTAAGCCTTTGTTCCCGGAGCTCTCTCTTAGCCTAGGGAAAATGTAGCTACTCCCATATCTGATGGGAAAGGACCTGATGGGGTCTAACTTTTAGGCGCCTAGAAAATGTAGCTGCCCCCATAAGCTTATTGGAGAGGGTGTGGTGGGGGAAGGCTGTGCTCCAGGTGTGAGGGTTTGCCTGGATCTGGCTGGGATTTTTTTAAGCCTCCCCCCACCCCTCCTCCAGAGCTCTCGCTTAGCCCTTGGAAATGTGTTGCTGTTCTCTTCTGGCTTCCGCTCACCCATTGCGTCGCTGGCATTTACCTAGTTAATATTTCTTACCTGCTCTAACCCTGTATCAGTGGTAACTTTGCTTAGTAGTGGCATATGTTCGAAATGCGCTGAAAAAGGTGACTAGTACGAGGAGAGGGGTGTGAGAACTAAGTAACTAACCACTGAGTTAAAATTGTCAAACATGTATATCTGTGATGTTTGCATAGACTGTATAGGGTCACCTCTTAGAGGGTACAACACTTAGGTATATTCCCTTGTACTCTCTCACTACCATTATTCATTATTCAGTTTTAAGATGGTATCAGCAGTAGGTAGGTCCCGCCGCCCGCCCACGCTTCCGCTCTAGGACCTAGCCGCCCCCGCGCCCGTCCTAGTCGATCGTTCTAGCCGCGCCCGCGCGCCCGTCCTAGTTGCGCCCGCGCGCCCGCCCTAGCCAGCCCCTACGACCGTCCTCTCGGCCCCGCACCCGTCCTAGCCGGCCCCCGTGCCTGTCCTCTCGGCCCAGCGCCCGTCATAGCCGACCCCCGTGCCCGTCCTCTCGGCCCCGCGCCCGTCCTAGCTGGCCCCCCCCGCCTGTCCTAGCCGGTCCTGCGCCCGTCCTAGTTGGCCCCCGCGCCCGCCCTACCGGCCCCCGCGCCCGTCCTAGCCGGCCACGCGCCCGTCCTACCGGCCCCCGCGCCCGTCCTCACGGCCCCCGCGCCCGTCCTAGCCGGTCCCGCGCCGGTCTTAGCTGGCCCCCCCCCGCGCCCGCCCTATCGGCCCCCGCGCCCGTCCTAGCTGGCCCTGCGCCCGTCCTAGCTGGCCCCGCGCCCGTCCTAGCTGGCCCCGCGCCCGTCCTAGCTGGCCCCTGCGCCCGTGCTGTCCCAGCCGGCCCGCGCCAGTCCCAGCCGGCCTGCGCCCGTCCCAGCCGGCCCGCGCCCGTCCCAGCCGGCCCGCGCCCGTCCCAGCAGGCCCCGTGCCCGTCCCAGCCGACCGGCGCCCGTCCCAGCTAATCCGTGCTCGTCCCAGCCGGCCCCGCGCCCGTCCCGGCCGACCCGCGCCCGTCCCAGCAGGTCCGCGCCCGTCCCAGTCGACCCCGCGCCCGTCCTGCCCCGCGCTGTGTGCGGCCAGCTCGTCTAGCCTGCTCCGGCCCTACACCCTCCCTGGTACGGTTCCCCATCACTTGCACCGCACTGCACCGCACAGTACCGCCCTGTATCGCACTGCACCGCACGGTACCGCACTGCACCGCCCTGCACCGCGCTGCCCCGCACTGCACCGCGCTACACCGCACTTCACTGCACTGCACTGCCTTGTACCGCACTGTACCGTCCTGTACTGCTCCTGATGGTGGCGGAGCTTCGCTTCGATGCTGAAGGCCAGCCTCTTGAGTTTGAGGCATGGCTCGCCGACCTCCGTTGCCACCTCACTGGCCAGCGGCAGGATGGCCACCCGCTTTCCGCACACCTTGACGGTACGCTCCCCTGCCCAGACCCCCCTGCTGTGCTCCCCGCTGACCCCACACCTGCTGAGCGCGAGTCTACTGCAGCCGCTGCCCTTGCGCGCTCTGTCTGGCTTTCCTGAGACGCAGTCGCCCAGCTTGCCATTAGCAATGCCCTCCCCCCGTCTGAGCGCCCTCGCTTTAGGTTCATCACTACCGCCCAGGCTTTCTTAGATGCTGTCATCAAGCGCTATTCCACCCCTCCTGCTGCCTCGGTGGGTCGCCTGATCCTCCCGATGCTCTTTCCTGACCTTGCGTCCTTCCCTACTGTCGCTGATCTGGCTGCCCACCTGCGCACGATAGATGAGACCTGGCGCGTGGCCTGCACGGACGCACAGCTTAGAGCCCACCAGCTGCCCATTACCTCTACCCTCTACCTGCTTGCCATCCGCCTCCCTGACCGCCTTGCCGCCGCCCGCGATGGCTTCCTTAGCATCCACCCCGGTAAGCTCACCCTCACCGACTTTGTAGACACCCTGACAGTTATTGAGACCCGCCACCGCTCCATCGCCCAGGCGAGCAGTACTGTGCCGGTCCCTATCTTCCAGGGTTGTGCCCCCGCTCAGTGTACCTTCTCTGACGGTTCTGCCGCTGTGGCTGAGACTGCTGCTGCTGCGCAGTTCCGTCCGGGGAAGGGTCGCCGCCCCAAGGCTGGGCGCGGCGGAGGAGGCGGGGGTGCAGGTGGGGGTGGTGGTGGAGTCGGCTCGTCTGGTGCTGGAGCGGACGAGGGGACCCTGCCCAGTCCAGCTGCGCAGCCGCCTCCGCAGTCCCTGCAGCAGCCGCAGCAGCAGCCGCCGCAGTCGCAGCAGCCTCAGCCGCCGCAGCAGCCGCCGCAGACGAGGCAGGCGAGTGTTCTCCCGCCCGGGTGGCCTGGCGCTGGAGGTGGTCGTGCGCGTGGTGGTGTACCGGGTGGTGGCTCCGGAGGAGTGCGTTGCCAGTACCAGATCCAGACCGGTCCTCGCCGCGGCTTCGTCTGCGGTAAGATCGGTCATACCACTCCTCGCTGCTTTCGTCGCCTGGACGACCTCTTTCGTCAGCGCTTTGACCCGTTACCAGACCTCCCGGACTAGCACAGTTTGCTTAGCCGTAGTATTCCGATTTTTGATTTGGACATGGATGCCATCGTTTCTGCTCTGCATGTGATGTATGCTGATGACTCTAGTGTGCTTCCCGCTTATTACTCCTTGTCGTCTAGTGTAGGTGTGCCTAGCTTAGCCCCCCCTGCTGCGTCAGGCGTAGGAGCTCCTGCTTTGTTTTGCCTTGGTGCTTCCTCAGTCGCCCCGTCGCCGGATGCCACTGCTTCGCTTTCCTTCACCTTGGACTCTGGCGCTTCCCGGTGCTTCTTCCGCGAGTTCACTACACTGACGCCGCTTCCTGTTCCTGCTGCTGTTTCTCTTGCTGACCCCTCCGGCGGTCTGGTAGTTGCGCGCAGTTCCACCACCCTTCCCTGTCCGGCGGTTCCTTCGGACTCTCTTACAGGTCTGCATATCCCCTCGTTCTCCAGGAACCTAGTTGGTGTCGGCTGCCTCCAGGACCTTGGCGTCACCACTACGTTCCCTGGCCACGAGCCGTATGCTGTCTGTATTGAGGCCGCCACAGGTGCCCCCCTGTCCACGTTCCCCCGGGACCCGTTGTCCGGCCTATTCACCCTGGACACCGTGACCCCCCCGGCTGGAGCGCCCCTTCAGGTGGCTGCGTCTTCCCAGGTTGCTGCTGCCTGCTCCTGTCGGTCCCTCACCCACCCGACTCTCCTTTGGCACCACCGCCTAGGTCACCCTGCGCTCCAGCGTTTGCGTCACATGTCCCAGCACGGTCTCTTCCTTGGTCTCCCTGTTTCTCTCCCCGCTTTTCCCTCCTCCCCCGCCCCACCTTGCACGCCTTGCGTTGAGGGTCGGCTTCGCCGTCCCCCTCACTCCTCCTCGTTTCCCCCTACCACCGCGCCGCTGGAGACCCTGCACATGGACGTCTGGGGCCCCGCCCCCGTCCATGGGCCGCGTCGCGAGCGCTACTTCCTCGTGCTTGTCGACGACTTCACTCACTACACCACCGTCGTTCCCCTGGAGCGGAAGGCCGACGTGCCTGACGCTCTCATCCCCTGGCTTGTCTCTGCGCGTGTCCACCGGGGTCTCCCTGTCTTGCGCCTTCACTCAGACCGTGGTGGCGAGTTTGCCTCCAGTGTCTTTGGTCTCTTCTGTCGTGCGGAGGGCATCACCCAGACGTTCACCCTGCCGGACTCCCCACAGCATAATGGGGTCACTGAGCGACGCATCGGCTTGGCCATGGAGGTTGCTCGCACCTCCATCATCCATGCCGATGCACCCCATTTTCTGTGGCCATTCGCCGTGCGCTACGCTTCTCACGAGCTTAACCTGTGGCCGCACCCCCAGCAGCCGCAGGTTTCGCCGACCCGTATTTGGACCGGGTCCCCTGGTGACGCGTCTGCGTTCCACGTCTGGGCCTGCCTTGCCCACGTTCGTGCCTCTGGCACGGACAAGCTCACTGCCCGCACCCTTCCCTGTGTCTTCCTAGGTTTTCCCCTTGACGCGTCTGACTGGCACTTCTACCACTCGCCGTCTCACCGCTTCTTTCACTCTCGCGACGTCACCTTTGACGAGTCCGTCTCCTTCTACCGTCGCTTCCCCCACAGTGGTCCCCCGGTTACCCCCCCCCTGTTCCTGGTCACTCCTTCCCCGGTTGTCGCTGCCCCCCTCCCCTCCCCCTCCCCGTCCTGCCCCCTCTGGTGTGTCCCATGTCACTCCTCTTCCGTCGGTGGTCCCGATTGAGGAGTCGTCTGACTCTGGTGGTCCTGTGGCGCAGTCCTCGCAGCCTGCCCCTCCTCAGGCCTCTCCTCCTCCGCCGCCTCTGCAGCCGCCGTCGCCTTTGCTGTCACTGCCGTCGTCTCCGCCGCTGCCGCCGCCGTCGCAGCTGCCGTTCGTCGCCTCTGGGGGTGCTGGCGTTGGAGTGGTTCCTAGCCCCGGTGGCCCTGGGGGTGGTGCCGGTGCCCGAGGGGTTTCGGGCCCTGGGAGTGTTCCTTCTGGGGGTGCTGGAGTAGAGTTTGCCGGTGGTTCCCGAGGAGCAGCTGGCGGTCCCGGTGTCGGCGTTGTGCCGCCGCAGCAGCAGTCCCCGCCGGTGTCTGCCCTTTGCCTGCTCGGCCTTCCGTCCCCTGACCCTGAGTCTGTTCCTCTCCTCCCGTCTCCTCCTCTTCCCGTTTATGGCCCTGTGTTCCCTCTGCCGGACTCCTCCCCGGCTCGTCTTCCCCCTCGCTCTCTTCCTGTGTCCCCTCCCCTGTCTCTTGACCCGACTCCTCCGTCTCACGTCTGGTCTCGCCGTCCCTCCCGTGCTCGTCCTGTCTCCCCTGTCACGCGCTCTCACCCTATGTTGCTTCGTTCCCACGCGTCTCGTCCTCCCCTTCTCCCGTCCCCTCCTCCGTCCTCCCTTGTAGTTGCTCCCCCCCCTCTGTCTGACTACTTTCGTGCCGCCCATCCTCTCGTTCATCGGGTCCTTGCCTCTCTCGTTACCGACCCGTCTGTTCCGGTCTCGTGCCTTGACGCTCTTGTCGCTGCGGTCGCTGACTTCGCCTCTACCCACCGCCTTGACTACACCAC